AAAAAAAAAAAAAAAAAAATTGTTCAATTCTTGAGAAAAGGAAATGTCAAGTTCAATAAACAGTGATCAAAAGGAGGAAGAATCCCTACACGAATCTTGGTTGAATCTTCAACATGAAGAACTGATAGAGCTTGAACAAGCTGCAGCTCAGATTAAAAACGGCGTCAAAGATGATCATAAACTCACACAACTCATTGAAAAGATTATAAACAACTTCCAAGACTACTGTAACAATCGTAGCCGCCTAGCTAAAAAGGACGTGTCACCATTCTTTGCACCAAAGTCGTGCACTCCATTTGAGAACTCAGTCCTATGGATCGGTGGCTGCAGACCATCTTCTTTTATACGTCTCATTTACGCTCTCAGCGGTATGGAAATTGAGTCTCATCTCATTGAGTTCCTTGAGGGAATCAAAACTGGCGAATTTCACGGGTTAACGATAGAACAAATGACCGTAATCGACAAGTTGCAGACCAAGACGATTCAAGAAGAGAGGAAGCTTTGTTCAAAATTGGCTAGCCTGCAAGAAGACATAGTGGACCAGCCACTAGCCAGCAAGATGATGAAAGATCAAGAGAATGCAGATGAAGATTTAGATAAGCATAGTCACAATATGGCAACAGTAATGGAAGAAGCTGATAAGTTGAGGATGAAGACACTGAAGCAAATTGTGAGCATACTAATTACACCGGCTCAGGCGGTGGAATACTTAGCAGCAGCCAAGAGGATTAGGCTTTGTTTGAAACAATGGGGAAAGAAGAGGGATCACGAGCATACCAACTAATAACTTGGTCTATTAAGTTTTTTCTTTGCCAACTAATGGGGAAAAAAACATGTTTGGGTGTATGGTTGGATAATTCTTGTTTGATGAATTTCTTTTCTAGGAGTTCTAGTTTTTGGTAATTTAGGTTTGATGCTTGAATTTGTTTTGCATGTATAGTGATAAGTGCATTTTACTTGATTTTTAAACATATGATTTCTTTGTAAAAACACAAAAATTATCATATTTCTTCCATACTTTTGTCTAAATTATGCAGGAAAAGTTAAAGAAGGATTGGTCTGGGAACGAGAAGATTACAGAGAAAAAAATAGAAAAACGTACAAGCTAAAGCAGAGTAAAATATGGTGCTAAAGAATACGCGATCTGCCATGACAAAGGACAACCGAATCACAACCGGTTACAACAAACTATAACCGATCCATAACCAAAGAAGCTCATAACCAAGCATAACAATGCCACAACCAGCCATGACAAGTTCATATCCAGAAGATAATTGAAAACCTTGTCATGGCTTGCCTATAAAAAGGCATTGTTCGTGAAGGAAAAAGGGGGAGGGAAATATTGAGCAAATAGTTTTTCTTTCTCTTTGTTCTTTAGTTTTGCTTCTGTTTCTTCTTTTAGCCATTACAGTGGTTTCATTTCTAGTTTCGAATAAATTGTAGTATTGGAAATTACTCTAGTTCCTGTTTTTAATTAAATAGGGGGAATTATTCTCTTGAGTATTTCTTTCTATTTTCTTATTTAATGGGCAAGATTATTTCCGTTGTCAGTATCGGATCCAATATGGAGTAACTTTTCTTGTGTTGGGAAAATGACGGATCTTAATATTTTTATATAATAGTAGATATCATTCCTCAATTTTACATGCTTGAGCTGAAGCTTTTTATTTTAATTTTATCTGCTTTATAGTTGGGTGGTATTTAATTTTGTTAACATCTATGTATTTCGTACTACATATTAATTTCTCACTAATTCTGTAATCGAAAGATGCAGAAGAAGTAATAATTAATTCTGGTATTGATAGATGTTAACTTGTATTTAGTGACATCTAGCTCTTATATGTTAAAATTAATTCTACACTTATTTTTAATCGAAAAAGGCGAATATTGTAGTAATCAGTTATAACAAGTAGGGTAACCGAAAGGGTCTTACTAAAAAGAGCATGTTTTAGTTCAAGTATATATTTTTGATTCTTTAATATTACCATTTTAATGATTAATTTGTATAACCGAGAGGAGCGCATTTAATTGTTCAACTATAGTAATAATATATAAATGTAATCGTGAGAGACATTTATACATTTCTGAGAAATAGAAGTTGAAGGATAAATGTATCTACTATATAATAAAAATATTAAGTGAAGTCAGAATCCCAACACCTTTTTATTATATTTGTGAAAAACAAAATATTTTCTATTGCTTTATTCGTGCATTTTTAGTTAGTTAATTCACGACTCATCTCTTTCTGATTTTCTCAAATAGTAATTAAAACAAGAAACGTCTGTAGACTAGATAAACCAATCTCTGTGGGTTCGACATCTTTCTATACTACTATTTGACAGAGTACGAGTTTAAATCATATACACCAGACACTCGTCAAATTTTTGGCGCCGTTGTCGGGGATTGGAAAAATCTACTACAAATAAATTGTTTTATTGCTAATTTGAGATTTTTGTTTTTAATTATTTTGACTTTTATACAAAAATTTCAGGAAGTGTATGACTCGTTCCTCCTCGAGAGAACTAGTTGAATACGATCCTGAAATTGAAAAATCCTTGCGGTTGTTGTGAAAAGAACAAGTTTCACAATCTCAAATTTCTTCACTAGAAAAAATGGAGAACGAAGAACTTAATAACAACAACCAACTCCCGCCACATCAAGTAGAAGAACAGTTTGATGATGTGGCACCACGACGTAATAGAATACTAAGAGATTATGCAAGGCCAGACCATTTTGAAGGAGAATCAAGTGTAAGGAGGCCACCAATTGCAGCAAATAACTTTGAAATTCGCACAGGCTTGATTCAAACTATTCAGCAGTCGTGCCAATTTACTGGTGATGTGAGTGAAGATCCTCACACCCATCTAATTGATTTTCTTGAATTAGTTGAAATTTGCAGGTATAATGGAGTCCCAACAGACACCGTCAGGTTGCGGCTTTTTCCTTTTTCTTTCTTTAAAAGGAGAATCCAAAATATGGTTGTGAAGTCTGCCGAGAGGTTCAATCACTACATAGGACCAAATGACTCAGAAATTTTTTAATAAATATTTTTCACCTGCAAAAACTTTTAAAATGAAGCAAGAAATCAATAATTTTGTGCAAACAGATACTAAATTTGTATACCAAGCATGGGGAACGATTAAAATCAATGCTAAGAAAATGCCCACACCATGGTATCCAAGATCCTGACATTTTATATATTTTTTATCATGGTCTTAAACCCTCTGCTAGAAATGTTGTTGATGCAGCATCAGGAGGATCCATAATGAGCAAAACTACTGCAGAAGCCATGCAATTGCTCAATGAAATTTCAGAAAATGTTGTTCAATGGCCCTCTGACAGAATGATTGTTAAGAAAGCAGCGGGAGTCAATCAGGTTGAAGCTTGGAATTCATTAGCGCAACAAGTTGCAACTCTAACACAAAAAGTTGAGGCATTTCAGGTAAATACTCAATCATCATCTCAATATGAGAATTGTGACGTTTGTGGAGGCAACCATCCCAATCATGAATGTCAAGCTTCAATGCAAAATGAAGAACAAGTAAATATTATTGGGTATAGAAACAATTATCCATTCGGTAGTCCCATGGCACAAAAACATCCGGGATTCCAATGGAGTAACCCAAATGGTGCTGAAAATCCTCAAAGATTTTTCAATCAAAAGCAGCAGGTACAGGGACCACCTGGTTTTCAAAATCAAAACAGAGGGCAACAAGATTTCCAGAAATATCAACAACCACCCCAAAGAGCTCATCAGCAAAGCCTCGAAGACATGATGTACAAATTCATTAAGGCTACAGATGAGAAGGTTGAAAGTTAAAGTTCAGCCATCAAGAATTTAGAAATTCAGATGAGCCAATTAGAAACCCTCATGTCTGAACAAATAAAAGGTGCTCTACCAAGCAACACCGAAAAAAATCCAAAAGAACACCTCAAAGCCATCTCTCTGCGGTCAGGTAAAACTTTTGATGATCCATATTCAGATAGACAAGGAAAACTACAAGAAGTGGAATAGGTAAATGAAGGTGAGAATAAAAGAGACTCTGAACTTCTAAAAGAACAAAAAGATAAAGTAAAAAAGGTACAAGAAAATGAATTGATGACAAATCCTCACTCTGTACCCCTCCCTTTTCCCCAAAAAATGAAAAGAGAAAATCCTGACAAACAGTTTGCAAAGTTTCTGGATATTTTAAAGCAACTTTACATTAACATACCTTTCACAGAAGCTTTGACACAAATGCCTTCATATGCTAAATTTCTCAAAGAAATTTTGTCAAGTAAAAGAAAATTGGAAGAAGTTTCAGTGGTCAAGCTTACCGAAAAATGTAGTGCTATACTTCAAAATAAGCTTCCACAGAAACTTGGTGATCCAGGAAGTTTTACAATTCCTTGTATTGTGGGAGGTGCTCACTTTGAAAAGGCATTATGTGATTCAGGTGCTTCAATAAATCTAATGCCTTTCTCAATTTTCATGAAATTAGAACTTGGTGAAATGAAAGATATTTGTGTGTCTTTTCAATTAGCTAATCAAAGTACTAAAAGGCCCAAAGGAATCATTGAAAATGTCCTCGTTAGAGTAGATAAATTTCTATTCCCAGTAGATTTTATAGTACTTGAAATGGAAGAAAATACTGAGGTACCATTAATTTTAGGTAGACCATTTCTCGCAACAGGAAGAGCGATCATTGATGTTCATCAAGGACAATTAATATTGCGAGTTGATGAGGAGAGAGTAATTTTTGATATGCATAAAATGATGAAATTTCCTGGGAATGAGTCATCATCATCTTGTTTTCAAATTGACTTACTAGATGACCTTGTAGATGAATACAAAGAAAATCAGTTAATTACTGATTCATTGGAGAGATGTTTGGCTAAGTCAGGTACCACAAGTGAAGAAAATCCCACAATCAGAGAAGAAGCTGAAACATTGGAAGAAGAATCAGAAAATGAGAAAATCTCACAAGAAGAAGTTCAATAAAAAATTAAACTCAAAAATCTCCCTTCTCATTTAAAATATGTTTTTCTTGAATCTGAATTATTTTCGGTAATCATTTCCTCTTTTTTGACTCCAGAACAGGAATACAAACTGATAGAGGTCTTGAGGAAACATAAAAGAGCTTTAGGGTGGACTATAGCAGACATCCAAGGAATCAATCCAGCTATTTGTATGCATAGGATCCTCATGGAAGAAAATTACAAACCAATAGTCCAACCGCAAAGGAGACTGAACCCAGCAATGCAGGAAGTCGTCAAGAAAGAAGTGGTGAAACTTCTAGCAGCAGGTATCATTTATCCAATATCTGACAGTCCTTGGGTAAGTCCTGTACAGGTAGTGCCAAAGAAAGGAGGTATGCCCGTAATAAAAAATAAAAATAATGAACTCATACCTACTAGAACAGTCACAGGATGGAGCATCTCTATTGTTTACAGACGAATTAATGATGCCACGAGGAAAGATCATTTTCCTTTGCCTTTTATTGACCAAATGCTTGAAAGAATTGCAGGCCATAGTTTTTATTGTTTTCTTGACGGATATTCTGGATATAATCAGATACCAATTGCTCCAGAAGATCAGGAGAAAACCACATTCACATGCCCTCAAGGTACGTATGCTTACAGAAGAATGCCATTTGGACTATGTAACGCTCCTGCTACATTTCAGCGTTGCATGTCGGCAATTTTCTCAGATATAACCGAAAGGTTTCTTGAAATTTTCATGGATGATTTCACACTTTTTGGTAAGACATTTGAAGATTGTCTCTATCATTTAACTTTGGTACTTAAAAGATGCGAAGAGACAAATCTAGTTCTTAACTGGGAAAAGTATCACTTTATGGTAACGGGGGGAATTGTTTTAGGACATAAAATCACCGCTAAAGGAATAGAAGTTGATAAGGCTAAAATTAATCTTATAGCAGGATTACCCACTCCCACCACTGTTAAAGGTATTAGAAGTTTCTTAGGGCATGCAGGTTTTTACAGAAGGTTTATAAAAGACTTTTCAAAAATTTCAAAACCTCTGACTAACCTACTAATGAAAGATGTTAAGTTTGAATTTTCAGATGATTGCAAAAAAGCATTTGACTTTCTCAAAGAACAATTAACTAATGCTCCAATTGTTGTCTCTCCTGATTGGAGACAACCATTTGAAATAATGTGTGATGCAAGTGATATAGCAGTAGGAGCGATATTGGGGCAAAAGAAAAATAAGATCTTTAAACCCATATACTATGCCAGCAGAACTCTCAAGGAAGCTCAAATGAATTATGCAACAACTGAGAAGGAGTTATTGGTAGTAGTATTTGCATTTGACAAATTTCGTTCTTATTTGATAGGAACAAAGGTTACAGTATTCATTGATCATGCAGCCTTAAAGTATCTATTAACAAAGAAAGATGCTAGACCTAGATTGCTAAGATGGATACTCCTTTTGCAAGAATTTGATCTCGAAATAAAAGATAGAAAAGGTTCAGAAAATCAGGTAGCTGATCATTTATCACGTCTAGAGAATCCTCCTACTGAAATACTAGATATCCAAGAGGAATTTCCTGATGAGCATATCTTTCTGTCACAACAGTCATAAAAAGATCTTCTTGGTTTGCTGATATTGCCAATTATTTAGTAGGAAGGTGGTTTCCAAAAGATTTTTCTTACGATCAAAGAAAAAAGCTTAAAAAAGAGGCAAGACATTATCACTAGGAAGATCCTTATTTGTTTAAATTTTGTGCAGATGACATAATCAGGAGATGTGTACCTGAAACAGAAATGAAAAATATTTTAAGTCATTGCCATGATGGAGCTGTAGGAGGACACTACGGAGGAAGAAAGACAGCAGCTAAAGTACTTGAAGTCAGATTTTATTGGCCTACTTTATTCAAAGACGCAAGAAATTACGTTGCCACTTGCGACAAATGCCAGAGAAGCGGTAACATTTCAAAAAGGGATGAGATGCCTCTTAACTCTATCCTTATTTGTGAAATATTTGATGTTTGGGGCATTGATTTTATGGGTCCCTTTCCTCCTTCAAACGACTGTGAATATATTTTAGTCGTTGTTGACTATGTTTCAAAATGGGTAGAAGCAATTGCTACTAGAAAAAATGATGCTCATATTGTTTGTACTTTTCTCAAGAAAAATATTTTTTCTAGATTTGGAACTCCACGAGTTATCATAAGTGATCAAGGAACTCATTTTATAAATAGACAATTTGCTAGTTTGTTGTCAAGATATGGAGTTACTCATAAAATAAGAACCCCATATCACGCTCAAACAAGCGGTCAAGTAGAAGTATCCAATAGAGAATTAAAAAGAATTTTAGAAAAAACTGTTAGTTCTTCTCGAAAAGATTGGTCTTTAAAATTGGATAATACGTTATGGGCAAACAGAACTGCTTATAAAACTCTCATAGGCACATCTCCTTATAGACTAGTTTTTGGGAAAGCTTGTCATTTACCTGTAGAGTTAGAGCATAAAGCATATTGGTGTCACGACCTGGATTTCCCACCATCGGGTGTCGTGATGGCGCCTACTATCAGAGCTAGGCAAGCCAAATATATAAAACATTTTTCCTGCTTTCTTCCAAACAATATAATAAACAAGACAAAATTTAAACGGAAGACTTTAAATCTAAAGCAACTGAGAACCAAAAGTGCGGAAGTTTGAACCAAAATGCTACCCAGAGTCTGGTGTCACTAGCTCACGGACTACTACAGAATACTACAATCAATGTCTGAAAGGAAAATACATCATGTTTGTCTGATATAAGATAAACAAACGAAAAACNTATAATATTAGAATAATATCAAACTATCCTTGTTAATGTATATTACACTGAAATTACCAAATAACATATTTTTTTTTATTTTACATGGTTTAACCACTGTACATAAAATTATAATATTATTGATATTTGAAATATAAATTTCTTAAAAAAAATAAAATTTTAAAAAATAGAAGAAGAATATCGCAAAACTAGTTACACCTCCTCTGTCAAATCACACACAGTGATCGAGAAAATCAAGTTAGTGATAGCATATATTTTTACCTTTTCAACTCAATAAATACATTAAGACACCTACATCCTTATTCATCTATCCCAAAACAAAAAGAAAAAAGAAGAAAAACCAAAAGACAAACATCTTTTTCTCACCGTCATTTTCAATGTAAAGTAGATTGCCTGTGTCTTTACCTTTTCTTTCTCTGTTCATTCCTTTCATAAGTAAATTAAAAAATCTTAAAAAAAATGTCTTCTTTTAAGAGAACTAAATCAGGAAATAGCTTGCAAGTCCATAAGAAAAAACAAGATCTTGATCCTATAGATTTGATTTTCTCAGAGAGTTCCAGGAAAGTAGTTGAGGAATAGAGGATGAAATTTTTACCTACAGATGGAGATAAGGCACTGGAGATACTGAAACAAATCAGTTCTTTGGGCTGAGAATCATTTGTACAAGACCCAGGTACTTATGTTAAAGAAATAGTTCTGGAGTTTTATGCTAATATGAACAAATCAGAAGGGACAACTACAGTTCAAAATAAAGTGATACCTTTTAACCCTTCAATTTTAAATGAAATTTATAATTTAAGGAACCTTCATGATGAGGGAACCAGGCTAAAGATTGAAGGAAAGGATGAATTATTTTTGAAAAAAACTGTTTAAAAATTATGTCCAAATGGGGTTGAGTTAATTTCAGGAACTGAAGAATATCCTTCACAAATAGCAGGGTCAAGTATGAGAGAAACAGGAAGGACATGGGGGAAGTTCGTAAGTTCTTGTTTATTCCCATATGTGAACAATTCCAATTATAATTTAAAAAGGGTCTTTTTGTTGTATGCTATTAGAAAGAATTTGTCGATTAACGTTGGGTGGATGATTTTTGATGGAATGATAAATTGTCGTTTTAGAGACGATTGTGAACACCTATATTTTCCATCAACAATCACTCGCCTGGCAAAAATGTTTAAGGTAGATACGGAAGGTTTTGCTGAATTACGAAATGGTTATCTCTTAGAATAGAGTTACTTGAATTTTTTAAAACCACCTCGAGGTCCAGCAAAGCCGGAGAATTCGAATGCAAGTGCTTCTTCACATGATGTTATGACTTGTATGAAACAACTGCTACAAGGACAAGCTGAAATGAAAAAAACAATTGGACGATTACAAAAGTGAACAAAAAATTCGTGAAAAAAGATTAGCGGCAAATATGGCACATGTCCTGAATGAATTAGCAGAAGCTAAAAGTTGTCAATCTTTTCATTATCAGACGTTGCGAAATGAATTTGCAGCCACTTCCCCCACCATCCATATGATTGGAAATTTCACGCGCCATGTTAATAATGCTATGAGGTGTTTTGACAATTCAAGTTTTTAGCATTATTCTTTTGCAGATCCGGGAAGTAGCAGTCTCCAAGGTGTGAGATTATGTCCAACTCCAGAGCTTTCAGTGCCAATACCGCCAGCACCCCAGACAATCTTCGTTCCACAAAGAGTAAGTTCAACTAATTTTATAGGTGAGAGACCCTCTGTCCCTTTGCAACGCGATGGAATTGGAGACTTTGAAGTTGATTTTGACTTTCTCAATAATTATGAAACAAGAAATGGTGGTCAGTAACATTTACATTGTTCATCCAGGAGGATGAATAGTCCAAATGTGGGGATGGTTGAACTCTACTCAATCATTTCTTTGTTAAAAATGTTATGGTGTCTTTTTGTTGTCAGGTGTTCATCCAACAGGTAACATCATTTTGATAGTTATGGTAATAGCTTGTACATAGTCTAACCTGTTGGTTGCANGAAGCTCATAACCAAGCATAACAAGGCCACAACCAGCCATGACAAGTTCATATCCAGAAGATAACTGAAAACCTTGTCATGGCTTGCCTATAAAAAGGCATCGTTCGTGAAGGAAAATATAGGAGGGGAATATTGAGCAGATAGTTTTTCTTTCTCTGTGTTCTTTAGTTTTGCTTCTGTTTCTTCTTTTAGCCATTACAGTGGTTTCATTTCTAGTTCCGAATGTATTGTAGTATTGGAAATTACCCTAGTTCCTGTTTTTAATTAAATAGGAGGAATTATTCTCTTGAATATTTCTTTCTATTTTCTTATTTAATGGGCAAGATTATTTCCGTTAGCGGTATTAGCTCCAGTATGGAGTAACTTTTCTTGTGTTGGGAAAAAGACAGATCTTAATATTTCTATATAATAGTTGATATTATTCCTCAAATTCACATGTTTGAGCTAGAATTTATTTAACTTTTATCTGCTTTTACAGTTAGAAGTTATTTAATTTATTAATATCTATCCATCTTGTATTACATATTAACTATTTATTTATTTTGTAATCGAAAGAGGCGGAAGAAATAATATAGTTAAGTGTAGTATTGATAAATATTAATATTTATTGAGTAACATCTATCTCTTTTATGTTATAATTAATTTTACACTTATTTGTAATCGAGAGAGGTGAATAGTGTAATAATCAGTTATAACAAGTAGGGTAACCGAAAGGGACTTACTAACAAGAGCGTGTTTTAGTTCAATCATATATTTCTGGTTCTTTAATATTACTAGTTTGAAGATTAATTTGTATAACCGAAAGGAGTGCGATTAATTATTCAACTTAAGTAATAATATATATTTATAATCGTGAGAGGCATTTATACATTTTTGAGAAATAGAAATTGAAGAATAATGATTCTACTGTATAGAAATATTAAGTGAAGTCAAGATCCAAACACCTTTTTATTATATTTGTGAAAAACAAAGTATTTTCTATTGCTTTATTCGTGCATTTTTAGTTAGTTAATTCACAACTCATCTCTTTCTGATTTTCTCAAATAATAATTAAAACAAGAAACGTCTGTAGACTAAATAAACCAATCTCTGTGGGTTCGACATCTTTCTATACTACTATTTGACAGAGTACGAGTTTAAATCATATACGCCAGACACTCGTCAAAGCCCTTCCGAATTGTAAGAAAGAAAATACAAGGAATATTTAGCAGAATAATCTTAATGTCCCCTAATGGGCTTACACTACTACAAGGGTCTTACAATCTCTTCTTTCGCCCTAGGGTCGTCACCCTCGGGACGCTGATTCGAAGGTACCCGATCATTTGTCGTACTCGTCATAGATCGTGGTCGATCAAATTTGGACCCATACAGTTAGTCCCTCCGCTTGTCGGGGTCGCGACCGGATGCGTCCTCGATAAGCGGACTTCATGTGTCCTTTTGGAGAAATTTGACCTGTGGGGACGTTACTGCCACACCTCCTTTTTACCTACACCCTCCAGAAAAAGGGGTATATAAGGGAGTTTTTTCCAACTTAAAGTGACAATCGAAACGAGATTATTTATTAAAATTCAGAATCGCCACTTGGGATAATTTATGGTGTCCCAAGTCACTGGTTCAAATCCCGAATCGAGGAAAAGATTGACTCTGTATTACAGTCCGCGAACCAGAAATCTGGGTAAGGAATTCTGTTAACCCGCGAGAAGGTGTTAGGTCTTCCCGAGTTCCGTGGTTCTAGCACGGTCGCTCAACTGCTATATTCAACTTATCTGATATTAATACACTTTTAAACCTAT